GGGGGGTGGCATTTGGGGAGGCAGAGTCCAGGATGGTGAGGCTCGATTATTGTGAGGTCTTGTGGTACAAAACTACTGTCGGCACCTGTGTGCCAGACACAGCCAAAAGGTTCCTGAGACTGAGCCTCCTGGTGGAAGAGACCTGTGATTGTTAGCATCTGGGGTGCCTACTTTGGCTGTCTTGTCAGGAGAGACCGGTCCCTGGAGAAGGACATTATGCTCAGTAAAGCAGAGAGACAGTGGAGAGAGGAAGGCCCGCCAGGAGCTGGGTTGGCACCGTGGCTGCCACCATGGGCTGGTGCACAGGCACAGTTGGGAGGAGGGGGCAGGACTGGGCAGTGTTTTGCTGTTTTGTGCAGGTTTTGGGTCGGCACTGACTTGATGGCACTTCACAACAAAAATGCACACGAGAGGATTTGCTGTCTCTGGAAGAGGCTGTGCCTAGCCATTGTCTCAGGAGAGTCAGAGAGAAGGGAATCCGAGCATTAATTGTTCAGGCCTCACCTTTTGCCATGAGCCAGCCCTATCTATACCTTCCCATATATGGTCGCTGTTTGGACTTTAGCTCCACAATCTGGCCCACAAGTCATCTGTCCAAACCCAGAAACCTCATCTCCTGCAGAGACAGTGTCCACTGGCAGAGCCAGGCGGGGGTGGGGTGGAGCCTCCAGTCTGGTGACGCATGGCAGCTTGCAATCTTGGGAGCCACTGAAATCCTGGTTCACATTCTGACTCTATTAGATAGGAGCTATGTGACCTCTGGTCGGTTACTTGAACTCTGTGTCCAATGTTCTCCTCTGTGAAGTGGGTATACCAGGACTAATGCTATCAAACTTTAAAAGGGGGTGTTAGTGTAAAGGTTAGCATAATCTCTTGCTATAATTTCTTTTCATTAAATGACCAATGAAGCTAGTCATTTCAAGTGGAAATGACAATCCAAGATGTAATTTTAAGCAAAAATTCAGACTTCACCAGGTATGTCAGAGGGATGTTCAGAGATTTAGGATTCTCTCCTTCCAGGTTAAGTTTTCCTCTCCCATACAAGATCTAAACGATTAAAAAGATAAATCTATGCATCTATGAAAAAGGAAATGCTTCTTTCTGATGAGTCCAACACACTTTGGCCATGTTGGTTGAAATGGGGCATCTGTGTGTGTGTGTTTAGGGGTGTGGTACATAGTGGTTACACACTGGGCTGAGACCCACAAGATCAGCAGTTCGAAACCACCAGCTGCTCCATGGGAGAAAGACGAGGCTTTCTCCTCCTGTACACAACAATCGTCTCAGAAGCAGTTGCATCCTGTGGGCAGTGAATCTCATTGTGGTTGGTTCTGTGTGTGTGGAACCCGTGCTTTGGGGGTCATGTCAGTGCCTGAGTCTTGTCCTTTGTGGGTCACTCAGCACGGGGGAATGATGAATAGTTGAGATGATGGGGTGGGGGTGAGGCACATATGGAGCTATACATTCTCGACCTCTCCTGTTTGTTCTGCAAAGATCGAAGCCGCAGTGGAAGCGGCCAGAGAGGCGTTTCCCGGCTGGTCTGCCCGGAGCCCCCAGGAGCGCGCGCAGGTGCTGGTCCGGCTGGCCGACGTGCTGGAGGAGTCGCTGGAGGAGTTCGCCCAGGCGGAGTCCAAAGACCAAGGTCAGCGCTACTTGTCCATCGTGTGGAGTCTGAGCATTTGTGTCTTCTGTTCCCTGTCTCATTAGCAGTGCGACTTTCGTGTTTTGTGAAAAATACAACACAACACGATTCAGGTATTTAGTCAGCGAGGCACTCATGCACTGGTTTGTCAGATGACCGCTTGCCTCTAAACGATGACGGATGGGCCTCTGCATCGGTCGCGCTTCCTACCACTGTCCCCGAGACCCTGATAGGCGCCCCTCCTGGGACTAAGCCTTTCTACCCGCTCCTTTCCAGCTACCTGTTGGACTGCTGAGTGTCCCTCCAGGGACTTCTGGCCCATCCCAGCAGGCAGAG